AAATTATCAGGAAGACATAATAATTATAAATGTGTATGCACCTGATAAGACAGCTTCAGAAAAGTGAAGCAAATTCTGACAGAACTAAAGAAAGAGAAATATATAAGCATGTATAAATATACCTTGATTAGATTCCAGAACTAAATGATTACTTTCTAAGTGATCATGATTTTTTATTTTTTCCAATAACATTGAATTTTTAAAGGAAGACAATAGTATGAATTGTGTTTGTTATTATAATGTGATTTCATTATGTATCATACACTGACTAAAAGTTTGGGTATAAGTTTGACAAAGACTTTCTTCTAACTTCTTTTCTATTATAGAAAATATTTTAACATTTAGCTTTATTTTGCCATCTATTTTTCTTTCCACAAAGTTCATGAAATAGTTTTGAGTGAGACTTTTGAATTCAGCACTACCTCCTAACATTTAACTAACCTAAACACATCACACTTAAATGAAATCAGCTTCTAGGAGTTACAATTGAACCTTTAGGTATGAGAGAAATAAATAAAAGAATTCTTACCTTAAAGACTAGTTCTCCTACCAAGCCATTCCATGTCCCATCTTCTTGTGGGCTTCCATATTTGTGATCCGGTGCAACATAGATTTCATAGTTAAAACCCAGGTAGTTTGATAAGGCATCCAAAACATCAATGGAGAAGCCCTGGTATTTCTTCGGCTTACCCAAGACATTTTCAGAGACCATTACAAAAGGTTCTTCCTATATGGAAATAAGGGGAAATGTTTGATATTAATCTATACTGTTCCCTAAAATCAAAGATTAATTCTTTAAAGAGTTTTGCTTAAATCTAAAATTGCTTTATACTTTGAGAGAATTAAATTAGGAATATAATTTATACATTATTAATGTATCATATAATCTTTCATTTAATTATTGCTATATGAAAACTTAGATGAAAGTGACTAAAAAAATTTAGGAGCCATGAGTTCATTTTCCTTGCCATATCAATATCTATCTAAGATTCATCAAAAATAAAATTATATTTAAGAAACTATAAATTTATTATATTTATTCTCAAACATTTATTGTCTATATACGTAAAAATACATAAAATAATGTTTTAACAGATATGATCTACATATAACTCTGAAAAGATAAATTTCTAAGAACACATAATTTGGCTGAAATTTATAACATCCCATTTACTGAGAGTTGTTTGCTAAGAAATTTTGTAACGTTGATATAAACACTTATTTCATTGCAAAAATAGCTTCTCCAAGACTGCTGTGAGAAATTCACTTACCTTTTTGGTAAACTGTCTAATTTAGTAAATTAGGCAAATTGGTTTCTGCTTCTACCTCTTTTATCTTTTCCCATTTTTGTCTTCTCAAAACTAACAAATAGGCCCCTTTCACTTTTTAGAACACCTGGTGTTAAGAGAGCTCAATTGGATTGAAACATGCTGTCAGACTACAGAAAATTAGATAATCTATTCCTTAATTTTCTAAACTTGTTCAGAAATCTTTCAGCAACAGTAATGTTACAGATAACCATTCGTAGTGCATATAGTCCATCCAGCCCCCTGGGCAGGCTAATATCTCTCCTTGGGTCTAAGCCAGAATACGCAAAGATTTTCTCTTTGAATCGTTTTTCCTTGGGGACTCACAAAATAGCCTTCATTGAAATGTAAAATAATACTTTGCTTTTGGCTTTTTTTCAGAGACACTAAGTAAGTGGCTTATAAAATCACTGCACCTGTTATAGGAATATTGTCTACCATAACACTCAGTTTTCTCCCTAAACATTACCATGAGATAAATTTTTTAAGTTCTCAGTGTCAAAGAGCTTCATTTTGCTTTAGTAGTGCCTTTTGTAAATGATGAAAATAATGTAACTAATTATTGAGGTATCCCTTTTCACTTTGGATATACAGAAAATCAGTACTAAGTTTTTTGTGCTCATCTACAACCATATTGATATTGTGGTATTTATAATATTTCTTTAATCTTGGTTTTCTCAAGTACTTATGTTTCCTCATTTTGAAAATGTATTTTTAACTGTTCACTTTTTTTATAAATGGGACAGCCTTATTCTTTTTTATTTCAGAATATTATGCAAATACAAATGTTTTGATTACATGATTTGCTTCTGTGCAGTTTGAGTCCAAGTTATAAGCTTGCTCATAACCAAGAAAGCATGCATTGTACCCATTAAGTGTAAATCTTCCCTCTCCCACCTACTTGGTTTCCATTGAGTTTACTACCTTATGTGCACATGGGTGTTGATTGGTTAGTTCATGTGCTATTTGTTTTTCCATTCTTGCTACACTTCACTTAGAAAAATGGTCCTAGTTCCATTTAGGTTGTTACAAAAGGTAATAGCTCACCATTTTTATGGCTGCATAGCACTCCATAGTATACATATATAAAATTTTATTAATCCACTCATGTATTGATGGACACTTGGGTTGATTCCACATCTTTGCAATTGTGAATTATGCTGTAATAAACATTCGAGTGAAGATGTCTTTTTGATAAAATGACTTTTTTTCCTTTGGGTAAATACCCAATAGTGGGATTCCTGGATCAAATGGTAGTTCTACTTTTAGTTCTTTGAGGTATCTCCATACTATTTTCCATAGAGGTTGTACTAGTTTGCAGTCTCCCCAGCAGCGTATCAGTGTTCCCTTCTCTCCACATCCATGCCAGCATCTGTTGTTTTGGGAATTTTTAAGAAAAGCCATTCTCACTGGGGTTAGGTGATATTTCATTGTGGTTTTGATTTGCATTTCCTTGATGATTAGAGACGTTGAAAATTTTTTCATAGTTTTATTGACCATTAGTCTATCTTCTTTTGAAAACCTTCTGTTCATGTCTTTGCCCACTTTTTTATGAGGTTGTTTGATTTTTCTCTTGCTGATTTTACTGAGTTCTTTATAGATTCTGGTTATTAGCCCTTTATAGGATGTATAGAATGCAAACATTTTCTCCCATTCTGTGGGTTGTCTATTCACTCTATCGATTGTTTCCTTGGCTGTACAGTAGCTTTTTAGTTTAATCAAGTCCCATTTGTTAATTTTTGTTGTTGTGATTGCCTTTGGGGTCTTCTACATAAATTCTTTCCCTAAGCCAATATCTAGAAGAGTTTTTCGAAAATTTTCCTCTAGAATTCTTATAGTTTCATGTCCTAGGTTTAAGTTTGTTACCCATCGTAAATTAATTTCTGGGAGTACTGAGAGGTGTGGATACTGTTTCAATCATCTACATGTGGCTAACCAACTTTCACAGAACCATTTACTGAATAGGGATTCTTTTACCCAGTGTGTTTTTGTCTGCTTTGTCATACATCAGATGGCAATATGAGGATGGTTTTACATGTGGGTTCTCTCTTCTGATCCACAGGTCTATGTCTCTGTTTTTGTTGCCAGTACAATACTGTTTTCGTTATTATAGCCTTGCAGTATAGCTTGAAGTCTGGGAAAGTGATGCCTCCCGATTTGTTCTTATTGCTTAAGGTTGCTATTCAGGGTCTTCTCTGGTTCCATATGAAGCGTAGAACTATTTTTCCTAGATCTGTGAAAAATGACATTGGTATTTTAATGGGGATTGCATTGAATCTGTAGATCACTTTGGGTAATATGGACATAATAACAATGTTGATTCTACCGATCCATGAGCATGATACGTTTTTCCATCTGTTTTTGTCCTCTTCTGTTTCCTTCCTCAGTGTTTCACAGTTCTCCCTGTAGAGGTCTTTCACCTCCTTAGTTAAATATATTCCTAGATATTTTATTTTCTTTGTTGCTGTTGTGAAAGATATTGAGTTTTTGATTTGATTCCCAGCTTGACTGTTGGCATATATGAATACTACCGATTTGTGTACATTGATTTTCTAACCTGAGACTTTGCTGAATTTGTTTATCAATTCCAGGAGTCCCTTGACAGAGTCTTTGGGGTTTTCTAGATATACGATCATATTGTTAGCAAATAGCAATAGTTTGACCTAGTCTTTCTCCATTTGGATACCCTTGATTTCCTTCTCTTGTCTGATTGCTCTGGCTAGGACTTCCAGCACTATGTTAAATAGAAGTGATAGAGGGCAAACATATGTTATCTTAGAGTTAAATGAATCATAAATGAATAGCTAGATAGAGTAGGTTACTGCCAGTTGTCCTCCAGAAGAAAATTAGCAGTTTTCTTCTCTAATTATAATTTTTTTTTATATTTTAACGCTACTGAGAATAAAGACAATCTGGAGTCTTATTTCAGGCAAAAAGAGGGCATGCGAGTAATTGTGGCCAGTGTGACATAGGCAGGGTGGTTTTTGCCACATCTCTCACTGTTCTTTCTACTGCTTGCCAGCTGGAATGAACATGTAATAGATGGTCTTCTGGTAACTATCTGAGACCACGGATAAAAGTCTCTGTCCCTGACACTTGAAATGCTGTACCAGAATTGGAATGACTCTCTGGGGTTCTAGAATGTCAGAAAGAAAGAAAGAAATTTCAATTTTTTTTTGCTAAGCTACTGATTTTTTCCTGTTATAGTAGTTTTTCATTTTAGTGAATATCGATATATTGTTAGCTCAACATATAAAAGGTTTTGAGAGTGCGTCGAATTTCTAATAATACTGACTTGTTTAATCTAAATGACATCATAATAAATGAGTAAAAAGTGAACACTCAATCAATCCTTTAATTTTATGGGTAAAATACACACTCTTGGTGATTCCAAATATTTATATATTTAAAGTATATAATAAAACTTTCAGACAATTGGCAGACTTTTTGACTTTTCCTTTGATTTTTTGGACAAAATACAGACCTAGGCAATGACTATGCATTGTACAAATACATATGTCCTGAGTTCATTAGAATCAGAACGAATTAAAGGAAGTTCAAAATAAAGATCAAATTCACAGAGCACGTAAATAAGATCAGGAAGTCCCGTAATTAATATAGCCTTAAATGGTCTGTGCCATGTTGTAAATGATGGCATCAGAAAGGGTGTACTTATTTTAGTATATGCAACTTACTCATCTCTAGGTTTTGAACATCTATCAATAGGCAAATCAATTGAAAAAGGTTTCATGGAAGATATTATTTAACTGGTTTTTCTACCAATAATTTTGGGTCATATGCATTCTCTATTTTTAAGAACCTTCAAAATCTAACAAATTTGTTATGTTTAGCAATAAGTTAATTATGAGGAAGTTGAATAACACTCTTTGAGGTGATACTTAAAAAATTAAGAACTTAACTATATTGCATAGCTAAATGACAGACGTAGTAAAAATAACATCCCAATGTACACGTTCATATGAACTATTAGTGATTCTTTTTCATTTTTACTCATATCTCTTTGGAGCAATTGTTTAATATACTAAATCGTCTTATTTTCTTAGTATGCTAAACTTTCCCAAAATAATTTCAAATCAAATTTTATAAGAAAATTCCTAGGCAAATGGATTTGTTGCCAAAATCTGTTCCTAGCAATGTCACCTAGAATGGATTAAAGATGCAGAATATAAATGGTTATATTCAGCGTCCTTTTAGAGAGAGTTGATGAATTATTGATGAACATGCCTTTTAAATTTTATTCCTTAAATAAATCTTTATTGCATCCTATCATTTCTCATATGGATAAATGTTTTTAAAGCTTTGTTTTTAAGCTCTGTGACAGATTTGTATCACTCTTCGCAAATTCTATCTCAGGCTAGTTCTCTATGTGGACCATCAGCCAATATATTGGGCAGGTAAA